TCCAACAGCGAGATGGGCAACGGTGCAACGGGAGAGACTAGGGCGGCAGCGCGCACATGGCGAAGCAGTGTTCGGTGCAGCGCTGGAAGAGAGCAAAGAACAAGCTCCAAGGCAGATGGAGTTTTCAGAAAGCAGCATAAATAGAAAACCTGACAAGGGCCACTTGCAAACTGTAGATATGAACGTGAAAATAGACTCAAGCAGTACTGGTAAAACCAAAACTTCTCTTAAGAACAGAATCAGCAGTAAAGAGACTACAGCTGGGGGAGGTAAAGAGATCTCTAAGTTACCCCAGAAACTTTACCACTATCACCAGTAACTGTGATTCTAACCTCAGCTGTTTTATCATTGAACTAAGGTTGATGTCCACGCTAGTGTTGCAACCTGTTAGCAAGAAAGTGCATGATTTGTTACCAACAAATCTGCCAGAGTATGAAAAATCCCTACACAGGGAAAAAAATAAGTTAAAGACTTACCACGCATCAACAGACAACCAGTCATTAATGTTGTCTTCAGCCTGTATTTTATACTTTCTATTTCAAAAGTCAGATCTTGCTCTTTGTTTTCCATCCATTGCAACAGAAACAGTAGAATGAATAAATAAGTAAATAAAATTAACTATTTAGTGGTCCATCAAGAGTTCTGTATGTTGATTCCTGTTAAAGTCCTCTAGCCTGTTCAAACATAGAAGCCTGAGATTGCTCTTTCAGCTCCTTTCCTCAATCTGTGGAATTCATCCATCTTTTTAATGTTTTTTTCCTCTTCAGCACAAGAAATATTCTTCACACCAAGAAGGAGATTAATTTATTGACTCTAAAAAAAAATAAAAAATGATGAAAACTCCACACTGCTGAAAAGACTGAAATATCTTCCTACATCCCAAGTTAACACACTTATACAGAAGCAGCTTCCCAGTTTACTTCACTGTGATGCTCTCCTGAGAGCCAAATTTAGCTTTAAATTTCACACACCACCACAGCTTTTTCCTTCTCTACCCACATATTTGCTTTGCTTGTTGAGTAGCATGGTTTATGAATTCCTACCCAATAGATCTTTTCAGAAACACAAATGAGACCAACAAATGCTTTCAGCATCTAAAGCAAAGCAGTAACCAGAAATGAGAGCACTTCATAGACCAACTACTCAGAAAGTTGCCCCCACTGAGCACAAGGCTTACGGTCACTCTTTTGAGATGAAGTTACTTGATTAACACTCCTACTGGTTTGCAGAGAAACTGCTCTGTTAACACACATTTAAAACATGATGTTCCCCAGTTAGGCCAGGAAAGACTTCCTGAATTTACTATTTGAACATATCTGCCTATACGGAAGCAACACCACCCGCTCTCTTCACTGTTAAGAGGACTGCTTCAAGGAGTCAACCTGTTTGCTCCTCTCACAGATGATGAATTAAATGTTAGCATAGATGGGTTTAGGTTAGTTTGAGTATAATGGCATTTCCCACAATTTGGCAATGAGGGATTCTTATGTATTTCTAACAACCATAAAAGCAGCTGTGCTACTACAGATGAATATGCAGAAGGATTGTTTTCAACAACATTTTATTGAAGCACTGCAAAACGATCACAATGATAGATGTTGCCTTTAACAGAATAAAGCCTGTAATGTCATAATTTAAAGGCACTAATCCTGGCACAAAGGTCTACTTACCCACCTTCCACTGTGACAGAAATAAAAACACCCAGTATTTTACTTTTCCTTTATAAGAGTATGTGCATACCCCCTCTGAGTGCCATTCTGTGTTTGTCATTTAAGTGACATGTAAAAGAAAAACCCCAATGTTTCACCAAGGCATACTTTAACATTCGACATCTGTAGTCCTAAAGCAATGGACTACTCATTGAGGGTTTACAGTCTAGTGAGAAAAGTCATTCTACACTCACATTAAGGGAATAAAAGTCCTGAAGCACATACCAGTCTCAGGCAGTCACACATTACTTCTCCTTTAACACAATTCGCTGCTTGTGTCATTGGCAATGCACTGCTCTCAGCAAGACAAGCTTAAATAACCTGATTTACACCCCCTGTTTAGAATTCAGACAGCTCTCTCCAGTCAGGGTCAGTGCAAAAGCAAGCCAGCAGGGAGCAGAGCTGGGACATGCTACTGGGAGGAAGTGCATCTCTTCCACGTCCAGTAAACGCACAAAAAGCAAATCTTGACATGCCACTGCACAGCCACAGTAACTATAAAATTAAACCTTAGAAAAGTTAAAAGCTTGATAATGCGGCTAAGCCATATTTCAAGTTATTATCGATCCCTGCACAACATCCCTATATTAATTTAATCAGAGAGATTGTTTAAGGCATTTTCTTTGGCCTCCTTTCTTCTACCAGAAAGTAAATATTATGGAGCTTTATATGTCAGCATCCAAAAAAGACTGTCTTTCCAACCTGTTTCCATAAAGATGCAAAGAGAAAACACAAATCAGTAAAAGAAACTAGATTATTAGTTCCACAGATCATGAAACAGCTCCACATTTGTGCATCTTTCATGTTACCAGGTTGTAGGACAGAATTGCTCTGCGCAACTGCTAAGACACTCAGCTATAGTCAGGGTGATGATGAGAATTAGGCTGCACTGTAATTGCACTTAAAGAAACCACCATCCACACTAATGTTGGAGTTTTTCCACAAGGAAAACTTTCACACGGTGCTGCAGATGCATGCACAAATACCTCTTTCCCAGACTAGCCTGAAGACTTGCTGCTCTGTGATCAGTAAGAGCCATCACTAGTACTGATCAAAACCAACACCAAGTATTTAGAGTTGGCAGCTATTTTAAATCGAGACACCACACAATAGCAACACATCACAAAATCATAAACATACAACTGACATCCAACTGCCATGCATATTCATGACCAAGAATTCTCTCCAGCTCAGTATTTGCCTTTTCACAAGACCTGGTTTTCTTAATATGCTAACAGTCAAGGCCTACTGCAGATACATCAGAAATGAGTTTCAGGGCTATGGCTATTGATGTTAAGTACGATAATTTATATTTCTAAAATGCATACCCAAAAGCAACTTTTGTTGAGAATGGCAAATTAAATCAGTCTTTGTTTACTGTCCAGAGTAGAGTACTACAGAGCCTGAGACAAGTAATCGTTGTGAGAGATTAGACTGGCCCAGCAGGTTTCTAGAAGCAGAACACAACTACAGCATCCAAGGTCAGCAGACAACACTGCTAAATACCTGCCATAGGCTCCACACCTTGATTAGAACAGAAAAGATTTAACCTCAGACTTAACTGTGCCAGAGGAGTGAGCAGTTTTTTTAAGTCCAAGGCTGAAAGGTGGTGAGAACAGCCTCACTCCTCTGGAAAGCCTTATACACTTTTCTGTTTCAAAATTAAGGTAGTTGGCAAGCAAATCAAGCCCTGAAACAGAAAAGTTTAATCCTCTGCGCTGGATTCAAGTAGTCACTTAGAAGGTCTATACTTAAGCCATGTAAGTAACTAAGGGCATCCAGACTAACAGTACAGGTACAGCTCTGAAAGCCTAGTCACTTTGTGAAGTAATGCAAATGTACTTTCTAGAATACATGCATCACAGATGGGCAGCGCAGCTCTCCTTGCTAATTACATTTAGTAGAAATTATTCCTGAAATACCATGCTGAGCAAAGACCTGCTGACCAACCAGGGTGACAAATCTTGCAGCAGTAATACTGTTTTCAGATTTTGTGTCTAGAGGCATTTTGCTTTGAGCATTTACTCCAGGTAGCTTGCTTTGCATGCAGGAAACTCCCATCAACTGAAGAAACACGCACATGATCTTTTACTCAACAGTTCATTAGTCCTTCCCACCAGACAATCCACATGTGAAGGATGCTAACTGACCACTACTCAAGCCTAAAAACTAACCTGTTACAGTTCATAAGTGTGAAAGCTTACATGGAGGGAAGCCCTGAATAGAAGACATCCTGTTTGTTACCATTACTTGGAAGATGTTGACATATGGTCCTATAACTTCATCAGTGACCTGTGAAAAATTAATGCAACAAAGCATTTGGAAAAGAACCATCACTGTAACTTCAGATTAAAGTCACAAAAGAGATTTTGTTCAAGATGTTAGACAATGAAAAGCCTCACTTTCCAATGAGATAAGAATCTTTATGCTGTAACTGGCAATGACTGATCACGAACTGCTAGATCTGACACTTGTGCTAGAAGAGCAAAGGTTTTACTCTAGACTTGACAAGAAGAAACAAGCTTGTAGACACATGCTTTTTTCTCTCCTGAAAACAGAGCTCCAGAAGGCTGCCCCTTACTTAAGACCCTTCACCTGACCAGTGTTTTCATATACTGAAGTCTGCTGAGACTTACTAGCTAAGCTTGCTCATCTAAGCTGAGAAAGCCCCAAGCCTGAAAGGTAGTTTTATAAACATTTTGCTTGAATAGTTGAACCACGGAACATAAAAAAAGCTCAGGCATTTACTAAGCCTTCTGCCCCCACTGTAATCTTGTGGGAGAGGAGACAGACATCCCATATTTCCATGAGTTAAGCCACATCAACTCAAGTCAGTCAGTTAAGTGTCAATACAACCCTCAAAACATAAGTTTATTGAATAAAGCTGAAGAGCAGTAAACCAACATATGCATCCACCTAAATAAAAAAATTCACGTATTTACAAAGTTCAGTAATTGTATAAGTTGTTCACATGCAGAGAGTAATGCACAGGTTAACAATTGGTAGTGTTTGGATGCCATAAACGCTGAAAGCAGTGAAGTATATAAACACCAAACACATCGAGTTTAGCTATAGGCCAGTTAACTAAACAGTGACCTGGTCCCCCACAAAGATTCACACATTCTAGTTTAGTTTCCTTATTTTAGGCACAAGCAAGTTTGCTAAATAAAAGTTACCTGTAGCAGTTCCTGGTGAACTAGGGACTACAGTAGCAAGTTAATATACCCTCTCCTCTACAGCACCAGAGTATGAATTAATTGAAATCATGCTTCAGAGAACTGAAAGGGGACAAAAAGTTAAAATGCAAATTCAGACTGAATGCAGGCAGCATGTAGTGTCTGTGCAACAGTGCGATAGTTGGTACAGAACAGTAAGGCCATGGCAGTCTAAATTAAAACTGGCTTGTCATAACTGATATGGACTAAACTGTTTCCAACCAAAGACTTCAACATAATGCAAACCACATTTAGGTGAAGAATCACACACAGTGTGAGGCAACACAAGCAGGTGTACCATGTATTTGCATACACTAGTAAGCTACACTGACATTACTGTATGAACAAACCAGTCCTAACAAGTCCGTCCCTTTAAATATACTGAAGTCATTGAGAAAGTAAAGCTACAAAAACATTACAATCTTTAGTTTATGCACACTTCCCTATACTGTAGGAGCTAGTCAAGAAACAGGATCAATTCATTGGCTCTCTTGTGCTTTGACACAGTAGAACATTTCATCTTGCAACTTACAGACTTTGCACATGGTTACATCAAGAAAGCAGGCAGGTCTAGAGTTGTCACAATAGCCTTGATATTCCATAGCACCAGGTGAAACTGTGCCCAGCCATTTCATGAGCAGGAGAGACACTAGACAATTACATAGATATTGTGCTAAAGGTCAACAACTGACTCTATACAAAAACATCAGTAATTTAAGTGTCATGCAGCTGCTCAGAATGTATGTTCTGGTTTCAGATAGAGACCACTAGTATTTGTAGATAGAAAAATGTATTTGAACGAAGTCTGATGTTCCTAGCAATTTGTTTTCATGCTGGAATACTCCAATTTTTTGAAAGCTTGACAGAACATTCCATTCCCATTCCCCACATAAATGTTACATAGAAGCAACAAAATGATTTTGAACAGTTTGACTCTTTCCTAATTCATCATGAGAGTTTGGGTTTTTTTCCAAGTGACAGGGTAAGATCTCAGCTGTAGATTAGTGATGCTGATCTATGCCTTGTGCTCCCCTCTGCAAACAGCTTCCATTTCTCTGCTTACATACACACATCACATGCATTTGTGAGATAAATCAGTATCCCACAACTCACGCTTAAATGTTTTCTAACTACTGTATGTGGCATCTTACAGAATCTTAATGCTGTCAAGCATCAGCATCTTCAAGCCACTAAACACTAGAAATAAAACACCTGCTGAAAATCATATAAAAACCTGGCCCTGAAAAACCAGAACAGAGTGTACCATCATAGTTAACATGGTAGAGAGATTAGGTTTTCTTTTTTTAAAAAGCCCCCCCACGACCCTCCCACCATAGATGGTTGTAAAATAAATATTTGTGCTGACTTTATCATGACAACTCTAGTTGTTTTGTGACAGAATAGGAATACAAGTCTTCAGCAGTGCACATGAGAAATGAACCGTGAAAAGGCAGATTCTTGATACAGGATTTTGGGGTAGTATCTCATTATGGAGGGAAGTGGACAATTGAGATTATGGCCAACTGGTACTGGAGATTCCAGGAAGACTTCAGCTTCTTCTTGATTTTGAATGCTGAATAAGCCACTGAAGCGTGATATCTGGAGAGAGAAGAGAAGTTCCATATTCAAGTGTCTATCTGGTTTTGTATAACTGGCATTGCTTTGGTATGCCAGTGTCCTCAGACATGACAGGAATATCCAAGCCCTTCTCTACAGGATGTTCCAAGACAGATCAACAGAATCATTTTTTGGAATGCCTGCTGTCAGTGCTTTGGTCCTATTGCTGCTCAGCATCCTTTATTTATATTTATAGGAACTGACCCAGACATCCTGGTTCCTCAGTCAACTACACCTCTAGAAAAAGACATCCCTTAATCTGACACTTTGGTATGGCTCACATAATTAGTTTAAGATCAACATTATTCTATCTAGCCAGTCTGCCTCGCCTTACGTGATGAGATCAAAGTTAGTTTAGCCCTAGAGTATAAGGCATTAAGCTCCTCCAAGCTTGAAAGAGGGTCTCCTAAGGAAGTGAAATGCACTAACATCATACCAGCTCAACGCTTCTAGCAGCACCTTCCCTGTAGCATCAGTGATGCTCAGCTGTGCTTTGAGCCTTGTGTGGGAGATATGAGAGAAAGGAGTATCTACTGCTCCTGTCCACCACATTCGCATCTTTAACTGATGGTACGGTTCTTGGCGAAGAGGTCAGAAGAGTTCCAGAGGCTGTTTTTTTCTGGAAAGAAGCCGAGTCCTTAACATAAAGCAGTCCTGGTATCCTCTGTAGCTTGTTGCTGTGACCACCAGCCTGAAGTTTCCCTCATCAGTAAACTCATGTTAGCCTGCCAGTGAACCAGTGTTAATCTCATGGCAGCCACAAGAAGGCAACAACACTTGCCATCCTTTTCCTGATAAGTACTGTGTTTTCATTCAGTTGAGATTACTTGGTTTATTTACAGTACTTGTGTCAAGTACTTGGCACAAGTTAATAATAACAGTAGCAAGTTTCTGCCATGTTCACACAATACCATGGTTTCTGCCTTTGAACTCCAGAAATTCTAAAGCAATTGATGTCAGCACCAGAAAATGTACTGTTTGGCTGCATGGAGTAGTGACTAGCATAGGCCACAACAGGAACTGCTTTGATAAGACAGCAAGGGAAGATGATAATTTCAAGGTAATGACTGAGGAAAAACTTGCTTCCCTCATGAAGTGAAGCAGAGTTGAGAACACCCAACAGAAGCATAAAATCATCTAGGCCAAGCTAATAGTGAGACTAGTCAGTTGTTTGCTGCAAACTAAAAGCACGCAGCAGATTTCACTTTAATACCAGTTAAACTTTCTCACTGTCATCAGGAATTATTATCAGATTTAACCAGTGTACTTACACATTGTTCCTTCACTTGTTACCAGTTTCCTGAAGCCAGGAAGCTTGTGTTTAAGAAGTTAACAGTCCCCCAAATCCATCTCCTGACAGCTCTTCATAATGTTTAACATTTTAGGTTAATAGTTACCTATATTATCTTTCTCTTTGCAAGAAATTGAGTAGCAGCAGATTTCTCTGTCCTGAATAGCAGCAAGATTCCTACAAAAGAGAGAAGATTTCAACATACACGTATAACAAGGACTTTTATACGACAATCTGACCTGTTCATCTCAAATAACTTGTCTCTGTACAATGTTTCAGCTACTTCCTCTTGCTGGGTGTTCTACTTGCAAATACAAGCTTCCTGATGCAACAACTTTATGTACATGAATTCATTTACTGAGTTAAAGTAGCCTTTCTTTGGAAGGGTTAGACTTACATCTTTTCAATTAGCTGTTTCTCATCCAAAGCATTAGGAAGGTCTCTCTTATTTCCAAGTACTAGAACCTGTAATCCAGAGTAGAAGGAAACAGTTGCAGCTTTGCTTTTTAAAAATAAAAACAACAGAAAAAAACCCACACCAAACCACACAGCAAACTTCAGGGGAGTCTGACAAGTAGTTTGTACTAGGCAGACAGTCACTATTAAACCAGATAAAGAAGGAAGACTG